AGGCAACATCTAGCTCGCTGCAGATAAAGGGGCGTGTCAGGCAAATGCGTATGCCCAGGCGCCAAATCCCGCTAGTGGCTGAAGAGGATAACGGGGCAACCGTTGGTAGAAAATGAGTGATACGAACGAGACGATACAGCATTGTCACTTTTTGGCTTCAACAACTAGTGAAGAACGGTTTATCACCGCGCCAAACTCATCCCGCCTGACAGACCCCTTCGTTTGCAGCAAACTACCCATATAAGTAGGCTCCTTTGAGGAAAATATGACACCAGGAGGACTGAGACAGGTGGAGTATTGACCAGGGCACGTCGTCCAGTGGAGATCTCCAGGAGAGCCCCCCCCTCAGGCACAGCAAAGCTAGCCAAATTTTGGGGAGAAAAGTAAAATCTCCGGGAAATCCTGAGAGAACCGACAAAAGTGGGAGGAAGTTTGAAAATCTAAGGAAGTGGTAGCCAGGGTGGGAAGGAGGGGGGGGGTCGTATTCTCCTCGCGTATATGCCCCCCCACTCGACATCTCGCTCGTATCAAAGGAAGGAACTAAGAGGGAAGGTCGTGTCAAGGCATCCCGGGGGAGGGGGGTCGTACGGACTCGACCCCGACAAATAATGTGTTCTTTTCAGGAACATGGTAGGTAGGATGGTGACTGGAAAAGTTGGGTGTACCAGAGGATAAAATTTTGTGGGAGGGAAGTTTTTGCATTTGCAAGAGAGTTTCGCAGCGGCAGGACTGGCTTGATGTTGAGATGTGGCTCCGCTTTCCATTTCCAGCTCCGCACTCCCGAGGAAGTCATATTTCAAACCCCATCTTGGCGAGCCCTTCACCCCTGCAAGTGCGCTTTATACCGGATTCGTCTGGGAGGAGCAAGCACCCTACGTGACTTCTTGAATCTTTGCACCTAGTTTACATCGGAAAGCCGCCATTCTGTGCGTTAGAAGTGGGAGTGGCGGTCAAGAACGTGACCATCAACGTCGAATGTTTCGTCTTCAGAGTCCTTGCGCAGGGTGATGGTGGTTCCTTTAGGCGTTCTTGGATTCAGCTTTCGATCAAGCTGAAACTGTGTGTCAATCAACGGGAGGGCACTTGGTGTCCATTCATAGCGATGAGGAGAACAAATTCGTTTCAAGTGAGTACCAAGAAAACTCCTACTGACTGATAATCAATCCTTTTTTTACGTTAGGCTTAACCCACATGGGAATACAGTATAAAAACGAGAAGCAATTGACTTGGATTGGTCTGAGGAAACCCCTCGCAGCGAATGGTACATGGACATGGACCGATGGTTCTGTGGTCGACTACTTGAAGTGGGCTCCTGGAAAACCAGAGGATATCACTGGCCTTCAGGACTGTGCTCAGGTCTTGGCCGTTTCGAATTTTTTTTTCGTCAAGTGAAAGTCGCGTGTCGAGCGTTGTAGCTGCGACACATGTCACCTCCTAACTTGAAAAAAAAACTAATAAAATTTTATCTTATTTCGTTATTCAGATGTATACGGACTCACTGGACAAGAATCCCGATAAGGATAGTGATTTCCGGCACTGGAATGATGTCCAGTGCTCTACAACAATGCGCGTGCCTACGTCTGCAAGCAACGCTGCCGTCACTGATTGTAGGGTGAGGACCGAAATAAATTTTTTCTGAGCTTACTTTTGTGACATGAATTTTTATGAAAGGTATTGGCCTTTCGCATGCCACTGACATACTGACTCATTTTTTTTGCTGAAACTGGAGCGTGTGAGGAACAGGAGGGATAGGGGTTCACTTGGCGCCAGGTCGTTCACATCATCAACTCAAGCAATAGCAGTTGGTGGGAAGCACGATGGCGCCGTGCCAAACCACGCCCCTGTGTCTGCAAGGGCGTGTCAGGGAGCATGGTTTGGCGCGGCGCCGTCCTGCTCGCCTGATTTTCGTCTGCAGCTGAAATGTGTATAAGACAGTAACATGTTAACCAAGAGCACATTTTCGAGTATCTGGAAGTTCTGGATGAATAGATCAGCACAGGTCGCATCCTCCCCCGCACCCGTTCTTACTCTTTTAAAGACACATAGTACTCTCATATACATTGAGGGTGTATGAGACTATCAACCCCCCAGATGTCGATGTGTCGTGGTCCCCCCGCCCAAACATGCCCGGGAATGGAGATACAGGGCCCCGTGAAACACGACGCTAATTCTTCCATGCTCCGCCCACTGCCTTTTTACGGCGCAGATTCCCGCCGTTCATAACATCCGTTGCAAGCGCGCCTGTCGCGTGCGGCTCCTTGGCACTTTGCCAAGTCCTTTAATTGCGCTCTCAAATACAAGGAAAACGCAATTTCCTGATGCGGATAACATTGGAGGTGCTACAAAATAAGAGCAGAAGATGATGACAAGGGGCAGAACTCAAGAGCAACTCGGCTGCATCTGCAGTATCCATCAAGGGCCGCGCATTCCCACAAAACATGAAAATAAAAACAGCCCAAGCGTCCCACTCGTTTGTTCTAACTAGGGATGGTCGTCAGGTCGAAGTGGCCGTTTGTAATGAGACCTAGACCACTAGACGTATTTTCAGACGCTGATTTCAAATCTGCATTCCAAATTTGCAAAGCGATTCTGTGAACGGAGTTATGACGGGTCGTTTGGCTGAAGCGGCGCGGGGTCGGCGGCAGTTGCCAGCCAGCGGGCATGAGTAACCGGGATGCAGCGCCTCATCCAACGGCGGCGGTGGCACAGAGGTAAGAGTCTAGGTTCATGGGCACACGATGAAGGTTCGGATCCCGAGAGTGTGGTTCGTTTTGCATTCCGTGGAGGACGTCCTACGACTATGATAAGCACTTCAAGCGTTGATGTGACCACATTTTTCAACTGGGGCTGGGCGATCAGTGTGATATACATCTTATAGTTATGGGAATTACATTCTTCAAATCATACACGATAATAATGCTATGCAAAAAAATGACTCCTTCACCTCATGAGCAAATATGATACCCTAATACAAAGTGGTCAAAACCAGAAGAATATCCCACGCTTGCCACGTCATTTCGCAGCCTCTAGACATTGATCCGGAACAATTTGATCTATTCCCATAAGATGTAGATCACACTGATCACCCAGCCCCAGTTGAAAAATGTGGTCACATCAACGCTTGAAGTGCTTATCATAGTTTCCCCCCCCCCCGTAAAGGACGACCCCCACCCCCCCCCCCCCCCCCCCCCTCTCCACGGAATGCAAAACGAACCACAGTCTCGGGATCCGAACCTTCATCGTGTGCCCATGAACCTAGACTCTTACCTCTGTGCCACCGCCGCCGTTGGATGAGGCGCTGCATCCCGGTTACTCATGCCCGCTGGCTGGCAACTGCCGCCGACCCCGCGCCGCTTCAGCCAAACGACCCGTCATAACTCCGTTCACAGAATCGCTTTGCAAATTTGGAATGCAGATTTGAAATCAGCGTCTGAAAATACGTCTAGTGGTCTAGGTCTCATTACAAACGGCCACTTCGACCTGACGACCACTCCCTCTAAGTATTTCTATGGCTTTGGCGCCGGATCGTAGAAATTTACAGGCCAGTTTATCTAATTTGCCTTTCCTTGATTTTTTCATTTTTGTTTTGTTTACATTTACATCGTTGTGCTTCATTTCTAGCCTGTGTCATCTTCATCTCCTTGTACATGGATTTTGAAGCATGAGCAACACCTTAAATTTTATTCGCATCAGGAAATTGCGTCTTGCTTGTATTAAACTAACGAGTATGCCGTTTTTAGTTTTTTTTCATGTTTCGTGGAAATACGTGGCCTCCGAGGGATGTTGCAGAAGTGGCACAGTCGCTTTTAGGTTCTGACCCTCGTCATCATCTTCTGCTCTTATTTTGTAGCACCTCCAATGTTATCCGCATCAGGAAATTGCGTTTTACTTGTATTTGAGAGCGCAATTAAAGGACTTGGCAAAGTGCCAAGGAGCCGCACGCGACACGCGCGCTTGCAACGGATGTTTGAAGCGGCGGGACGAATCTGCGCCGTAAAAAGGCAGTGGGCGGAGCATGGAAGAATTAGCGTGTTTCACGGCCCTGTATCTCCATTCCCGGGCATGTTTGGGCGGGGGGACCACGACACATCGACATCTGGGGGCTGATAGTCTCATACACCCTAATGTGTATGAGCGTACTATGTGTCTTTAAGTTCAAGTTTTGAGTCCATCTCCAAGCTGTAACTAGACCGCGATCGTGAGGACAGGGTTTTGAATGCGTAGCGCTGACTTGTGGATCCTTACAGAGCGTTTTTAGACGAAGCGCGGTCCTCAGGCAAGCATCCACAGGGCTGCTGACCGGAGAAGCGTGGATGCGGTAGCAGTTGTTTTTACGCAGACAAAGTGACATGAGTAGTGGCAGGCTTCTTGTCGGCTTTCACACTTTACATCCAACACATTCTGCCTGTTTGAAACGGCAGCAAAAGGCCCAACTACTTTGCTCAGGCTGGCAGCGATGGCCCGCGGATCTGGGAGGTACCGCTCCACATCTGAACTAGCCACTGCTTGCTACCGACGCTCGTACAGTCAAGCTCATGATCGCTACTACTGCTTTCGTTATCCCAAATGCCGTTAAAGCCAACGTAGTTCACAGCGAATCTGTTTATCAGAAACACACAGGGGGGGGGACAAAAAGTTTTTTCTCATTCCTTGACCTTCCAGGGCTAATAAGTTACCTCAGGCAGCTGCCGTCGCCGGCTCCGATGCAGGTGTAGGATATTGTTACAACTGGCTTCACAGAATTCCGTGACCTCGGACAGGCGCTGTGTGAGGCCTTTTCGAAAGAGGATACCTCTATAACGCCCTATTAAGCAACAACTTTACGTCCCAAACGCCTTCCTTGCCCGTCCGCCCACAAACGGACGACCGTTTCTGACGCTCGTATTCATTCATTTGCCGAGCAAATTATAAGCAAAGGGATTGGTATGAAGCGGCGGTGATGCTGCATGCATACATGAGTACACATATGCAGCCGTATCTTCGGTATCGGTGATTGGCAAGATGCGTACGAAACTCGTCCGAAATCGAATTCCAACGCACTCGAAGAAGCGAGGCTTTTTCTTGGCACAATTCTGACCATCTCACTCCGTTCTTTCGCCATTTCCCCACTATACAGTGCCCTACTAGCATTTTAGGCTAAGCAGGAAACCATCGTGCCAACTGCCTTTAATTAAATTCTGATGGGATATTTCCACAGCCATATTCAATAGCATATTGTATACTGTGATGATGCTCCACCACGGCCTCCTGGAAGAACACCATCGAGAGATTCTGCCACGCGATCATGATTCGGTACCTGAGTTCAGCGAGAGCGTTGATTTCTCCGGCACTGTAGACCACCCTGTTGAGCTCCGCCCGAGCTGGATAAATGAGGAGGTTCAAGTCAGGTGATACACTTGCATATTCCGTCTTCTTCAGCTACTCAACATCTTTCTATTCCAAGTAAGCGAAAATTTTTTCGAAACGCCCTCGATTTCCGTGCGGAGCGCACCCTCGCTGTAACAGTACGAAGTCTCCAAGAAGGTACAGGCGATGACGTGAAGGCAGGATATTCTTCACAGGTTTGTTGATGTAACCGTCAGCGCTCATATTCAGTCCGGGGCTCACAAAGAAAATGTTGGTCTTACATTCGCCAGGAACTTCCGGTCCATACCACCAACCCGTGCCTTGGCGACTGCAGTGAAGATGATATCGTGAATCGTAGCGACGTTGTCGGAGCTGCTCGACGTTGGAGGTCATGCAGATCAAGAGTACTGGTCTCCAGGTAGCTATCCATGGGCGACTCCATTCAAAAAGTTTCGCAGCTGTTTGGAGGTGACGTGAAATACCAGAGGCCTTTCCAGTCAGGCTGCGATTGGAGATGACTTCATATTTTGGTGTACATGAAGGTGATGGGCGAGAGCCAGCTCCTGCTTATAGAGGAACATCTTGGGTATCTTCCGCCCTGGTACTCGTATCCACTCTGTCTGGGCAGCGAAAACTTTGCTGATATGTGACTCGGTCAAAGTGACTTTTTTTGCCCCCCACCCCTCCACCCCCCGTATACTGGCTTGGACAGAGCGACGATAGGCGGCCAACCGTGCTGCCCGCTAGCATCGCTATCGCACAAGATTCCGAATGCGACATAAGTGGCAATACTCGACGGATGCTTCGCTGCTTTGACACTAAAAAACTTCTACTCTAAAATAATCGTGGAGTTGGTTTAGATACACCGAACGCTTTATCTAACGGCTTCGTTCTTCATGGATGCGTGCTGCATGTTGTTCACAGCTGGACCCCTGCAACTTCGTGCTCTGGATCTGGAGGGCTCTGATAGGCGAATTTCTATTATGGCTCCATTTTCGAGCTCCATCCGAACATGTAACGGGACAACCAAAAATGCCTCAGACAAACAACTCATACATCTAAATCACAGCCAATGCGCGCTAGTGTATGTGCCTATCGCGACTTCGCAACATGGCGTTTTCTTCTCTTCGTCAATCAAAGCTCCAGATAGATTTGCTTCTACCTTGTCGGCTTACATCGACAGCGATCTTAGTTGCCATGCTGGCCGACTTCGGGAGGCTTTAGGTTCAAGCATCGGACATTTCAACAGATTGTAGAGTTCACACCGCTAGTTAGCCAGCACATAGCCTATAA